CCTTAATATACTTTGGAAAAAAACAGATTCTTCACCTGGATCATCCCAAACTGTTCTTTTAAAAAAAAAAAAAAAAAAAAAAAAAAAAAAAAAAAAAAAAAAAAAAAAAAAAAAAAAAAAAAAAAAAAAAACGATTCAGTAAAATGCAGAACCAGGTAGATAAATTTCAAAGAGTAAAACGTTGTGTGTAGAAGGCAGAGAAGTGGTAACTTTTGCGATACCATATAACTTAAGCACTTTAATAATAGATAAGTTGTATTATTTATATCTAACTCTCACAAGTAACCTTCACAAGTTATACGCATCAACAGGGTGTTAACTTTCTTTTGCACAACAGAATACAACACAGTAAACAAATGAGGTGCCATAACTAAAAGCAAGACTTAACTAGAAAGTATTCTTGATTTAAAAAGGGTTCGTATTTGGAGGAGTGGATTTTAGAGATAATTGAGAAAATGTTTTTGGAGAAGGCTATTTTGTGGACCTCACTCCCACCGTCTTCCACCACTGTATCTGACGTGTTTGGGGATAGCTACAGCTGGATTCCTTAGAAAGTAACACCATGGACTGTGGACCTATAGACTCATACATTGATAGCTGAGCTCAAGTAGCACTGTGTGTGTATGTGTGTCGGAAGAAAAAGGACGGGGAGAGAGAAAAGCAGAGAGAGAGAGAAGGCTGGGTGCAGTGGCTCACGCCTATAATACCAGCACTTTGGGAGGCCAAGGCAGGTGTATCACTTGAGGTCAGGAGCTCAAGACCAGCCTGTCCAACATAGCAAACCCCGTCACTAGTAAAAACACAAAAACTAGCTGGGTGTGGTGGCATGTACCTGTAATCCCAGCTACTCAGGAGGCAGAGGACGCAGTGAGCCAAAACTGCAGCACTGTGCTCCACCCTGGACAACAGAGCACCTCAAAATTAAAAAAGAAAGAGTTTGCTTGGAAATTAACTATACCCCACAGCCTGGACAACAGACTTCGTCCTCCCCCCCGCAAAAAAAAGAGAGAGACAGAATTTGGTTGGAAATTAACTATATCCCACATACAGTAGGTAGGAGATGGCAGGGAATTTAAGTTTTTACCATGGACTAGAAATGTACCCCTCAGGAAAAACAATTGACCTAAAGTCACTTTATCTTCTTCCCAAATGCTGCTTCTTGTTAAGTGCCTAAGTTGACCTTAACACTCTTGTTAGCTTAACTAAACTTTAGAAAGGCTTCTTGTTGACCTTAGGTCCCTGGTCTCCCTTATCTTAGAGTACTTACTTTAGAAAATTTTCCATATTAAGTTATTTCTTTATTGCCTTTGAAACGTAAATCTTTTAAAGATCTTCCTGTCAGTTTTACCAGCAGCAATATCTTTCTCAAGGATCTTGGAACCACGGCCCCCTCCCCACCGAATTCTAATAAATGAAGACAGCACCCCATCTGTCCACCTCTAGGGGAGAGTATAAGACTAATTTCAACGGGTACATTGACTCCAGTTGTAAAACTATGTTCTGATACAAAGATAAGAGAAAGTTTACTTATCCTTTGAGTAAACCCAATTAGCAAACAGGGACAGCCTGAGTTCTCTCTCTCACCCCAGCTCTTAAAAAATTTCCCATCCTGTATAACAAAGGAGTTGAGCTCAGACTGAGTTCTGAGCTGTCCCTTACTGCAATAGCCTTGAGAAAAGTCTTCCTTACGTATTTAACTTTGTCTGTGCAATGTTTGCACTGACACAGGCAACTCATTGTCAGCAATAAGAATTTGAAAAATCAGAACAGGACTAAGAAGTGACCAGCCAAAGAAGGCAAGCTATAGCTGCAAATCCAACGCACAGCAATTGACAAAGGGTTTCCAAAGATTCAATCAGTGCTCATGAGCTATAGCGTTACCAGATTTAGCAACTAAAAATACAGGATTCTTAAATTTAAATTTCAAATAAACAGCAATGTTTTTAGTATATTTTATGTGATTTTTGAGACATACTTACACTATACTTATACTAAAAACACCAGACACAGTGGCTCACACCTGTAATCCCAGCACTTTGGGAGGCCAGGGATCACCTGAGGTCAGGAGTTCAAGACCACCCTGGCAAACATGGTGAAACCTCATCTCTACTAAAAATGCAAAAATTAGCTAGGTGTGGTGGTACATGCCTGTAATCCCAGCTACTCAGGAGGCTAAAACTAAGGCAGGAGAATTGCTTGAACCCAGGAGGTGGAGGTTGCAGTGAGCCAAGACCATACCATTGCACTCCAGCCTGGGTGACAGAACAAGACTCTGTCTCAAACAAAAAACAAAACAAAAACTTATTTGTTGTTTAACTGAGCAGCCTGTATTTTATCTGGCATCTCTACCATGAAAGAAATCCTCAGTTTTAAACATGTTCCATTCCTAAAGAGCAAGATGCCTGGTGACAACAGTGTAATTGCCAGTTCTTACAGCTCTTCCTTCCTGTGTAATCTCTCCTTTCCACCCCACCTTGCTTTCTCCCCATTCAAAGCTGGAAGGGTCAGAAACAGCAGCTAACCTGAAGGAGAGGTGATAAAGAGAGGAAAAGAAGAGAAATCAAGTTATTTCTGCCCCTCAAGGAAGACAAGTGTCAGACTACCTACAGAGACAGGCTGGTGGAAGAGGGTGGGAGAAATCATTTATCTGATGGAAGATTTAAATGTTACTAAATTTCTTAGACTGGATATTAGTTTCTTACTCATTGTATGACTGAGAGAGAAGGTAAGAATCATCATAAATACTACATTTCCAACCAGTGGCAGAGAAAATTCCCCCCATTGTGAGAAAGACAAAAATGAAAGCTGGCTGGGCACAGTGGCTCTTGCTTGTAATACCAGCACTTTGGGAGGCTGAGGTGGGTGGACTGCTTGAGCTCAGGAGTTCGAGACCATCCCGGGCAACATGGTGAAACCCCATCTCTACTATAAATACAAAAATTAGCCAGGTGTAGTGGCACATGGCTGTATTCCCGATTACTTGGGAGGCTGAGGCAGATGGATCACCTGAGCTTAAGAATTTGAGGCTGACGTGAGCCAAGATTGCTCCACTGCACTTCAGCTGGGATGACAAAGTGACACACTGTCTCAAAAAACAAAAGTTGTATTTCCAACATCCCGTGTGTTATGCTTGTTTGATGTACCAATTATATTTTAATAGATATGAATATAGATCTATAACAATGAAATAATATTTTAAATTTTATGTGTACCAAGATTTGGAGAGATTAGTCATTGAACTAAAAAAATATACACGAGAAAAAAAACAACCTATCAAAAAGTGAGCAAAAGATATGAACAGACACTTTTCAAAAGAAGACATTTATGTGACCAACAAACATACGAAAAAATGCTCATCATCACTGATCATTAGAGAAATACAAATCAAAACTATGTTGAGATGCCATCTCATACCAGTTAGAAAGGCAATCATTAAAAAATCTATAGACAACAGATGCTGGAGAGGATGTGGAGAGATAGGAACACTTTTACTCTGTTGATGGGAGTGTAAATTACTTCAACCATTGTGGAAGACAGTGTGACACTTCCTCAAGCATCTAGAAATAGAAACTCAATTTGACCCAGCAATACCATTACTGGGTATATAACCACAGGATTATAAATCATTCTATTATGAAGACATATGCACACATTATATTCATTGCAGCACTGTTTACAATAGCAAAGACCTGGTACCAACCCAAATGCCCATCAATGATAGACTGGACAAGGAAAATGTGGCACATATACGCCATGGAATACTATGCAGCCATAAAACAGGATGAGTTCATGTCCTTTGCAGGGATATGGATGAAGCTGAAAACCATCATTCTCAGCAAACTGACATGAGATCACAAAACCAAACAAACACTGCGTGTTCTCACTCATAAGTGGGTGTTCAACAATGAGAACACATGGACACAGGGAGGGGAACATCACACACTAGGGTCTTGTGGGATGGGGGGCTAGGGGAGGGATAGCAGGGGGTGGGGAGATGGGGGAGGGATAACATTAGGATAAATACCTAATGTAGGTGATGGGGGGATGGAAGCAGCAAACCACCATGGCATGTGTATACATATGTAACAATCCTGCAAGATCTGCACATGTACCCCAGAATTTAAAGTATAATTTTTTTAAAAAAGGCAAAAAACGTGCAAAACTAATAACCATGCATATTATAGTAATTCTACTTCTGTAATACCCAAGTATTACTGAAAAGCACTAAATAGTAACAAACTTGAATAAAACTCCTCTAACAGTTCTCTCATCTTTGGGTGTCACAGAATCTTTCTCACTTTTTATTGACATATAATTACAAATCAAATGTATCAATTTTAAGTGTATAACTTGATGTTGGAATGTTTGTAACACGAAGGATAAATACTTGAGGTGACTGATACTCCATTAACCATGATGTGGTTATTATACATTGTACTCCTGTATCAAAATAGCTCATAAAACCCATATATATATATATATATATATATATATATATATATATATACCTACAATGTTAGGAGTAACTTAATTGTTATGAAGCTATAGTG